CTTAAGAATTTGCCATTTTTTTTCTCAGAGCACACATTTGGAAACAGAAAAGTTGTATAGAAAGACAAAGAGTCACCAATTCTGTCCCTTGAGATTTAACAAAATATAGCCAAAGGTAAAATTAGTGTGTGTTTGTTTTTTTGCTTTTGTTTTTGCTCTTGCTTGGAAAACTGGAAGTAAATCTGGGCCATTAACCACAAGAGGGAAAGAAATTTGCTACCCAAAGGAGGCTGCTAGGGACGTAGGAAAAAGCAGTGTGATCTTGGAAGAATGAGGCTAAGGTGGGGTGACGGTATGCGGAATAGTATATAGTAAAATACAGAAGGCTTCTTAGCCAGATTTACTTTCATAGACTTTCTATGATGCTTTTTTAAAAATTGGGACACTAAGGCACAGTGATCCCAAGAAACTTTCTTAAGGTCACATAATAAACAGCAGAGCCCAATTTAAACCCTGTTCCAAAGCCTTGGTCTTCGCCAGCATGCTCTATCACAACCTTTTTGCAGGGTGCACCAGCTCGCTGGGTCTCTGGAGAACAGGTTCAAGAGACTGCAACTGGGAATGGAGGGCAGTTCCCTTACTCTGGGGTGTAGGGAGAGGGCTGAAGGGGCTGGAGCTGCCTTGATGACTCCCATCTGTACTTTGGGGTCTTTTAGGTAAAGAATGACCCATCAAGCACTACTGTTCTACTTCACTAAAGGTACCTAGGAAGGTGGGTGGGTGCTTCAGTTTCTATATGAACCAAGTCTGGCAACAGAGAGAGATTCTGTAAGTTTTGTTGAGTACGCCTTCTGTGCAAGGCATTGCTCTAAGCTCTTTTTATGTACTAATCTATTTAAATCTCTTTGGAACGCTATGAAATCAGTGTTCCTAATATATTTGTTTTACAGAAGAAGGGAAGCCGAGGCATATAGCCCAGTGCTCTGCACTATAACCCCAAGTGGGTATGCAGAGGGATTCATGCAGCAGGTACAAGGATGACCAACATTACCATTTTCCCTCATTTCACATTTCTTCCTCTGGAAAGTGATTGCAAAGACTCTGATATTACAAAATTTAGGCCTGGAGAAACTTGATTATTATCTAGAAAAGAAATCAGCCAGTGACATACAGCCTGGGGGCTAAATCTGGCCTATTTTTGTATTGGCCACAAGCTAAGAATGATTTTACATTTTTAAATGGTTGTAAAAGAAAAAAAAATTATTTTATGACATGAAAATAAGAAATTGAGATATCAGTGTCCATGAATAAAGTTTTAGCAGGACACAACCTCATATGGTTATGGCTACTTTCAGAATTTTCAGAACACAGTCATAGAGTTGAGTGGTTGCCTCAGAAACCAAAGGGCTCTCAAGCCTAAAATATTTACTACCTGGCCCTTTACAGAAAAAGCACTGACGTCTGATATAGAAGCATGTGGTAGACATATTTGCCTAACATTTTTTTCAGAAAAAGTTTTGTCAGAATTGTGAGTTTCCTAGATAATTTAAAGGCTGCCCTTTTGTGCACAAAATGGTTAATTAAAAAAAAAACTATTTGAATAAACATATTTCAGAAATTCCTTTTTAAATAAACTATGCAAAATATATGTACAAGAATATATTAATAAATTTATATTTCACTGAGTGTTCCTACTCTGCTTGTTTTCAACCCCAAAGCACTGGGTTGGCCTTCACAGTTTTCAAGCCCTTTCATTAACTTATTTGATAATTTTAAATACTAGAGATATTGATCTATAGTAATAAAATGGTCATGGGGCTGTACAAATGCCAGTCATTCTTTAATTGAATGATCTTGCACTGTTTTTGGAGTTTTTCTTTTCTTTTTTTTTTTAATTGAAGTATAGTTGATTTCCAGTATTATGTTAGTTTTAGGTATACAGCAAAGTGACTCAGTTAAGTGTGTGTGTGTGTGTGTGTAATTTTATTTTTAGATTATTTTTCATTATAGGTTATTACAAGGTATTGAATATAGTTCCCTGTGCTATACAGTAAATCCTTGTTATTTATTTTATATATAGTAGTCTGTATCTGTTAATCCCATACTCCTAATTTATCTCCCCCCTTTCCCCTTTGGTAACCATAAGTTTGTTTTCTATGTCTATGAGTCTGTTTCTGTTTTGTATATAGATTCATTTGTAGTAATTTTTAGATTCCACATATAAGTGATATCATATTTGTCTTTGTCTGACTTACTTCACTTAGTATGCTATTCTCTAAGTCCATTCATGTTGCTGCAAATGGCAATGTTCCATCCTTTTTTATGGCTAAGTAATATTCTATTGTATATATATACACATATATATATATGTTGTTTATATATATATATATATGGTTGTTTCCATGTCTTGGCTATTGTAAATAGTGCTGCTCTGAACCTTGGGGTGCATATGTCTTTTCAAATTCAAGTTTTCATCTTTTCTGGATATATGCCTGGGAGTGGGATTGCTGGATCATTTGGTAGCTCTATTTTTAGTTTTTAATGGAAACTTTTGGAGTTTTTCTCAAACCTACTTCACTCTGAGTATATCACTTATTGCTGACAAAAGGGTGCCCAATCTTCCAGTTCTATATTCCTCTTCTAATTTGTGATTTCTTATTGCTTAGATCTGAGAAAGTTTGTTATGATTGTGTCTAAACTAAAAGTGAATAAGCTAAGCCTCAAGAGAGCTTCAAATAGAGGAGCTTTGATGCTTAAACCAAAGACGATAAACTGCATCCTGGGGGCCAATGCAGTCTTCAGGGTGCATATGTGTGCGTGCACTCGTGTCTTAACAATTTGTTAACTACTTGATAACATTTAAAGAGTTTGGAAATTTTTTCAAATAAAATTCAGATTTCTCCTTCCTCTTCAAATATCTGAGGAGCTGGCAGCACTGGCCCCATGACCCCACGTTATTCAGGGCTGACTTTGAGAAGGAGGGGCTTGCTTTCGGTGGGGCAAGCACCTGAAGGCTCTTTACCCCCATCTGCACCCTCCCTCAATGTCCACAACACCGCGGCCAAGTGTTTGCTGCCGCTCGTGAACTCACTAGCCCTGTTTTTGTTGCCCTCCACCAGCTTCACCAACTTTTTTCACTTACTTTTCTCGCTTACCTACCTGTACACATTTGAGTGTGTGAATCCAGCCTACCATGTGTGATCATTATTTTGGTTGCTGGGAGACGTTTTCTTGTTTACTGTCTGGGTCTCGCTTGTGGCCAGTGTTTGAGGTTGTCAGAATGACATCACCAAAGCCTTCGATGAGAAGCAGGATGGTGTAACCTTGGGAGAGATGAGACGGCCTGGCAAAAAACATTGCCTTGATTCAATAGCCAGTAATTGTGCCGAAAGAAGCAATCAGAGGTAAAGGAGAACTCTAAGGACTTGGGAACAGGTCAGACCCAGACTGTAGCCCTGCCCCTACAAGAAGTCATTCACGTTTGCCTCTGAGACACCAGCGGGGGTAGATGCACAGCTCAGATGAGGTTAATGAGGGCTAAAGTGACCGTAAAGGAAAAAATATCCCACCGCGTTCTCCAGAAGCCCCCCCGCCGCCCCCCATAGCCTAGCCGTTTGTTTTAAGGTTTGAGCCAAGCGAATTATGTGTTGTTAGTGGCTCTCCTTGTGCTGTCTCCTTGATTGTGACAGTAAAGGTTATCCTGGGGGCAGAGAGAGGCAGGGAGTGATACAAAATGTGCACTTGACGACCGTTTTCAATATGTTAAGCCAACTAGAGTGAAGAGAGCAGAAATCCTGTCCTGGTTGGAAGTTAATAGCTTAGCCTGCCCAATTATTTGCTGGAAGAAAATTCCTGTTCAGTTGCCACAGATACCAGGCCAAACAAACCTACAGCTGGGCCAACTGCTAAAAAAGGCATCGCATTCTAATCTCTGGCTGTTCATCTAAATCACTGTAAATAAGGCAGAACAGACCAGAGAAGGGGTTTGGGATCCTGCTATTTTGAGCTGTTAATCACATTGTACCCCCTTCTCATTTGCAACCTGCTTTGACTAAATCATGATGAAAGATTTGTTGAGTTTGCTTTGCATCGGCATTGGATCAGAGCTCCCCCTTGTAGGATCAAGGGTCGAGACAAAAGGAGGGGGAAAACCAACAGAACCTGCAATGAGAGCCCTTTGTGCCGACTTCCCTCTGCCTCTCCTCCCAAGTTCTGCTGATTCCTGCCATTCACTTCGCAGAAAAGGGTGTGGGTCTAATAAGAACAAAGGGGACTGAAGGTATCAAAGCAGACTATTCAGTACTTCCCTTCATGAACCCACATTTCTAGGATTCCCCCACCCCCCAGGGGGGTGAAAGAAGATAATGACGGGGAAGGAAAAGAGTGAAATTTAACTTTCATTCTTTTAGAGTGGCAATAAATCAACCATCTGAAAGCCTTAAGAATGTAAATGTTTTTCTTTTCCGTTACTAAGAACAGAAATCAAAATATCAGTTCCTTAACAGGGTCAGAAATGCTGGATGTTTTTCGAAAGGGAAACAACGGCAACAATAATCGCTAATGCTTATTGAACATCACGACCAGATACATAAACCCTGCACAAGAGTTATCTCACTTAATGTTCTTAACAACCACATGATATAGGAACCACTGTTATTTCCCATCTTGCAGACAAAGAACCTGATGCTTAGAGAGGTTAAGTAACTCCACCCTGTTCGTATAGCTGGTCAGTGACCAGCTGGGATTTGAAGCTAATTAGACTGGCTCCACCTGGACCAGGGAGCTGCAGAACTAAGGTTCTGGCTTCTATCTGCCTGAATGACTTTGAAAAAATCATTTGTATTGGTCTTAGTTTGCTCATCTGTGATATACAGAGTTGTGTTAGGTGATCTTTAAGATGCCTGCCAAATCAGTATCTGTCATGTTGACCGAAAAAGAATCGCACAACCTAAAAATTGAGAATTATGTTTTATTCGGTGGACATTCTGAGGACTTCAAGCCTGGGACAGCTCCGAAGAGGTCAGGGAGGAACCAGGATACACAGGAGTTTTTGCAACAAAGACCAGGTAGTTGGACGATCAAAACATTACTGTTAATTAAAGAAAACCAGGCATCTCAAGTAACTGAATATAGCACTTCCCTATGTATGAGAAGATGCAGAAGTTTGGGCTCATCGAAATCATTCCTTTGATATGTACCTCAGCTCTCTGGGGCCAGTATCCTGTGCTTTCTCATCCTGAGTCTCCCCAGGGTGCACCCCTGGGGGTGGCTGCAGTGGCAGGCATCATGATGGCTTCGTGGCAGGCATCCTGTTTCCATCTTGAGCTCCCTCAGGGCTCCCCATCAGGGGCGGCTGTCATGTGATGGCTTGATGGCTGCAACATCCGTTGTTTACTGATACGGCAGGCAACATTTTTCATTCTCAGTCACATCCATGCTACTGTTGTCATTCATTAGTCCAGAGCTGTAGGACATGAAGGGGTGGTGTGGGACGGGAAGGGACACAGGGGGATCGCTGCGCTACACCCAGTGTCTTCCTCACAGAAGCAGCTGCTTCAGTTGCCACGTCAGGCCCAGACAGGCAGGAGAGTTGGGTTGACTGCGGGAGTGGGATGGGAGCAGGGCCACTTTTAGCTCCTGTGGCTGCCAGAGTTGATCCGTTAGTTGGGCCAGTAACTTTCCTCCAGAAGCGTCCTTACCACGGGCATTAGTCTGCAACGCACTCCGTGTTTGCTGGGCACTGGAGGCACCTGGCACAGGTGACCTAGGGGAAAGCATCTGCAGTGTGGCCGGAACTGCTGGGCCTCTCTTCCTGGCTCCCCTGAATTACCCTGACGGACGCTTCCAGAATTTTGCAGCAGCCCTGGAAGCCTTTGTTCTTTCTTCAGAGTAAGGAAATGGGAGACGGGGGTTGGGTAGAAAGGAGAATCTTTTGAGTTCTATGAAAGACCTCTAATCTGAAGATGTCTGGCTTTGAAAGAGACCCAGTGGCTAGTCACTCCACATATGGTAGATAATACTGTGTCGACAGCTCAAGTTATCTGAAGCTCTGTGTGAAATGGGAACCAACTCTTGCTCTCTAGGAACAGTGAGTATCACCTTTCTCCCAGGGAGGCGAACTAAGCTGTGTTTATTTCATTTATGCCTCCACACCCACCCTTTAATGTCAAAAGTCACTAGATTCCTTCTACCCTCATCTCATGCCCCCAAGAGTGTAATTCTTATTTCCCTCTACTCACAGCCTACACAGACATATATGTACTACGTAACATCATCAGAAATTGTCTGATTTAATTCAGGGAACACCTACCTCTCTATTAGACTTTTTTTTTTTTTTTTTTTTCCCCTCGCCTCTGACAATCTTCTACTTAGGCTTGTTGCAAGGGCATTTTTCTTTATCTGTGTCTGTATACGCCCAGAGGTAGAGGTAACACTGAAAGGAAAAGAGAAGTGGCAGAGAAACAGGAAGAGAAATAAACCCACAGAGCAGAAGTCCAAAGGCTGTGGTTTCCAAGGACTGCTAGCGGGTTGCGGGGCTAACCAGAAAAATGAGAACCACTTAATTCGAAAAGGAAGGGGAAAGCCTGAGACGAGAAGGGAGATCAGATCGGAATAGATTGGATGGAGGGGGTGGGATAAAGCCAGAGAAACAGCCTGGGTGAAACGAGCCGTCCGTCATTCCACACCAGAACGCAACTTGCTAAGATCCATTGGCGTCTTGTATGCAAATGAGAAGGGCTTCCCGGAAGGCTGGGCTGAGCCAGACGCATTCTGCTAGCAGCCGGGATTCAGCACCGAGGCTTGAAGACCAGTGCGCGTTAAGAAGCATCTCTGGCCATCACCAAGAGAGGATGGATGCCACCCAGAAGCAGAGAATAAATGAGGATTAAAGGACCCGGGAAAAGGAAGCCCTCTTGAGAAACTGTTGAAATTCAAGATTGGCAAAGGAGGTTCAATTCCACCTCTTCACACTTGTGGTTTCAGGAACCGATGGTTTCTCAATCCCTGGAGAGAGACTCCTTCCCCAGGGAAGTGAAAATAATGAGCTTTTGGAGGTATTGCTTTTTTGCTTTCACGGTGGTCAGTGTGGTTATTTTTGTGATACTTTACAATAGCCAGTTAAGCCAGCCAAAAAGTTACGGGAGGCTGAATAGTTCCAATGAAAGGGATTTTAGGATGCATGCCTGTAATTACGCTTTAGAAGATAAGTCATCCTTTTTGTGGGAAAAGACACTGACATCACCTGTGGGAAGTGTCCCTTGCAAGGACTACCTGATCCAGAATCACTACATCACGAGCCCCCTGTCGAAAGAAGAAGCTGTGTTCCCTTTGGCATATGTCATGGTCATCCATAAGGACTTCGATACTTTCGAAAGACTCTTCAGAGCTGTCTATATGCCCCAAAACATCTACTGCATTCATGTGGATGAGAAAGCCACAACTCAGTTTAAGAAATCTGTGTGGCAGCTACTGAGTTGCTTCCAGAATGCTTTTCTTGCTTCAAAGGTAGAGCCTGTGGTCTATGCAGGAATTTCCAGGCTCCAGGCTGACCTGAACTGCCTGGAAGACCTTTTAGCTTCTGAAGTTCCGTGGAAGTACGCCATCAACACCTGTGGGCAAGATTTCCCCCTGAAAACCAACAGGGAGATCATTCAGTATCTGAAAAGATTTAAAGGGAAAAACATTACCCCGGGGGTCCTGCCTCCCAATCATGCAATAAAGCGGACTAAATATGTCCACCGAGAGCACTTAGGCAGAGGTGGCTCTTTTGTGAAAAATACTAATATTTTGAAAACCTCCCCTCCACACCAGCTGACCATCTACTTTGGCACTGCCTATGTGGCCCTTACCAGAGAGTTTGTCAAGTTTGTCTTCCAAGACCAAAGGGCCATTGATCTGCTACACTGGTCCAAAGATACCTTTTCCCCTGATGAACATTTCTGGGTGACACTTAATAGGATCCCAGGTAGGTACGAATTTCCATTCCCATTTTTTCTTATCCATACTCAGTTGAGTTTGCTAACATTCAGCTCCTCTTTGAAATTATTTGGGAAAAAAAATAAATGCTTAGAAAGCTATTAGTCTGCTTGCTTTCTAGTGACAGTTTGGTGACAGCCCTACTGTCTTATGACTGTGCTATACAGAGATAGAATAAATATGCCGGGTTCCCGGAGTTCCGGCAAAACTACCTTTGAAGGTGTATCACATGGTTCCCGACCTTTGGCTCAGTCTTTTTACTTTAAATTGAGGTATAATGGACATACAGTAGCTCAGTCTTTGGAATGAATGTCTTTCGTAGTCCTTGGTAAGCACAGCTATGACATGATGAGGCATTTCGAATAAGCATTGTAGAATTTAGGAGTTGAAATAGGTAGTGTTTCTTTCAGGGGCTGTTACACAGCATTACACTGATGCTTAAAGTTCACAGGGCGGGGGGCAGGGGAGGTGGGGGGGTCTGTTTTCAGAATCTTCGACTCCTCTTTAGATGTTTCCAAATTATCACTGTGGCTTAAACGTTTCCAGTCTTAGGCCTGAACAGGTGTCCAGGTCTCAACCGACTGGGTTCAGTAAATCTACTCTGATACTTTATTGCCTGGAAGAATGGGTAACAGTGAGTTGAAACATACGAGAGAGAGTCTAGCTGGAGTTGACCCAAAGTCAGCTCTCAATTTCTAAGTCCCATTTTCTTATTAGAAGTTTGCATTTGCAGCCTCTTGTTTTTATATACTGTGAAGTCTTTCCCGTTGTTCATGATAATTTGGGGCCAAGGTATCAGAGGCGTGCAGGCAGAAAACAGCACCGAACTCCCTCTTTGATTTAGGACTGGGTTTCTTTTCAAAAGTCTGTTTTCCATATGTTGTCTAGGAAGCCCTATGTGACCCGTAGGGCCTCTTCCTGGTGATGTCCCAATGCACCGGTTTCTAGTATTGTACCAGCGTGGGTGTGGGCGTCAGCTCTGTGGGGAGGTGACCCCATGCCTGCCATGCTTGCAATACCCCCCTGCTCTTGCCTGTATCATCGTTATTGTTGACACGTGTGGGTGCTACCTTCATCTCTGCAAGTAGACTTATAGCAATTATTAGGTGCTCGATGACTCAACATCCCTAAGTGCTAATCTAGAATGGTGGTTATAGAAACCTACTTAGAGAGGGGTAGAAAAAGGACCTGCAAGGTGGCGGGGGACAGAGGCATGCAGTTAATTTCAGACGATACTAGGTTAACAGTTCACAAAGACTTGCAGGAGGGGGAGTGAATCAACATTTATCACAGTGAAGTGAGCATCCTACTTATTCACACAAAAGCATTTCACACACATGTAAACCTACTATACGTGGCATCTGACACCGTTCTTGTTAATACAGTTTGTGCCAGATGGGTTACGCTCTACATCATCTCTTTGAATTATGAGAAATTCTCATTGTTATCCTCGCGTACAGATGAGGAAAATGAGGCTTAGAGAGAGTGAAGTATGTGCTCGTATCACACAGCTTGTCCAAGGCAAAGCTGGGATCTGACTCTGGATTCGTGTGGCCTAAAGTCTGAAGTGTTCTCTTGCACCAGGTAAAGGAATAGTCGTTTTTTCTTTCCTGTATAGCTAAAGCAAATTCCATGCAGAACTCCAGAAAGGTAAAAAAGGTGAGGTTGAGGGGCCTCCCTGGTGGCGCAGTGGTTGAGAGTCCGCCTGCCGATGCAGGGGACACGGGTTTGTGCCCCGGTCCGGGAAGATCCCACATGCCGCGGAGCGGCTGGGCCCGTGAGCCATGGCCGCTGAGCCTGCGCGTCCGGAGCCTGTTGCTCCGCAACGGGAGAGGCCACAACAGTGAGAGGCCCGCGTACCACAAAAAAAATAAAAAAAAAAAGTGAGGTTGGGGAAAAAGTGCAGAGGGCAATGGAAGTAAGCCCCACCTGACCACGCTAAGCTGGAAATAAGGTTAGCAGGGATATGGGTGTGTGTGTGTGTGTGTGTGTGTGTGTGTTTTGGAATCATAGGAAGTTGTCCTGCTGGAACCAGTTGCCACAGCCCACCCAGGCTTCTGTGCCTGCTCCCACAGGCCCCATCCAAAACAGGCTTTGGTCTGGCTCTCCCTTCTCTGAGCCAGTGGAAGTGGAAAGCGTTCCTCAGGTAGTGTGCTCACAGAGGCTGGTGGGCGAGGCGCAGCCAGGGTGAATTTGAACCTGATCACTATTATGATAACAAAAGAAAATGAAGTATCTTGAGGACGTTATCTTCCTACAGAATAGAAAAGAAGTCTTCAGAAAAATAATAGAACATTCTGACACGTCTATTTTCAGCACTCAACAAATATTTATTTAGCCCTGCTAAATAAATTTAGCGTGGTACCCGGCACTGTTCTGTACACTGAGGGTGGCTCTGGAAGCAGATGACTATGACCTTATGGAATTTAAGTTTGGAGATTTGAGTGGTTGAGTATTAAGTGTAGTGACTCTTTAGTATATGAGGCTAATTTTAGTATGTTGAGCTAATTTTCCCCCCGCTCGGACCCCTCAAAATGTTGTGGGTTTTTTTTTTTTTCTGAATATCTGTCCCTATTTTAAAAACGTTTTTTAAAAGCTTTTTTTTTAAAAAAAACAGTAAATCTATTCATGAGTTTTAACATTTTAAAATTTTATACTCCATCAGCTGCTGGTTTTAATGCTTCCTTATATTCTTCCAGAGATATTTTATTAAGTTTATAGACAATAAAACTAATTAAGCATCATGTGTGGAAAACAGCATATGTACTTTTTTTTTTAAGTTCACCACAAAAATACACAAAAAGAAAAATGGTCCTTATTTTAGGCACCCTATTGTCTGTAAGTGACAAACAAAAGACTACAAGATGTATTCTTTGTTTAAATGGATCATATGCAGACATTCAGGAAGCTAATTTTCATTTAAAAGCTCAACTATTTTTTTTTTAATTTTGAAGCATTTTTAAATCTAGGTGCAAGGAATTTTACGGGGCAAAGGCGCCAAGGAGCTTTGCTTCCAGAGTCAAGGGATGGTGGCTGTACAGAACTCTCAGATAGGCTGGTAGAATACCTGTCATTCCCTTCCTTAAAGCTTTTCAGTGACTTTTCCTTATCTTGAGGCTCAAGTTGAAGGTCTTTTTTTTGGGGGGGGGCCGCACCTCGCGGCCTGCGGGATCTTAGTTCCCCGACCAGGGATCGAACCCCCACCGCCACCCCTACCCCGCTTTCGGCAGTGAAAGCGCAGAATCCTCACCAACCACTAGATGGCCGGGGAACTCCCAAAGGCAGCATAACCTCTGTGACCCGACTTCCCCTCCTGCCCCGCCCCATCTCTCTACCCTCAGTTCTTCTTTCCTGACACCTCAGACTTCATGTTCCAGCAACTACTTGGTCCTGCACACTTCTGCGATTTTCACTGAAATTTTTTCTGGTGGCTTTTTATGATGTCTTCTCTGGGCCACCCTTCCTATCATCTCTCTCTGACTAATCCCATTCATCCTTTGTAACCCTCCTTGGATGTCACCTCCTTCAGAAGCCATGCCTGATAACCCACCTCCCAGATGGTTGGTATGCCAGCTCTGGGTTCTCCTATACTCCCTGACACTGCTGCCAGCATTGAATTATAATTACCTGCTAAGTGAAAATTTCCTCTGCCCTTCCTCCACAGGGTTTGGGTTCCTTAAGGGTGAGAAATATGACATCCATTTTTATCTTCCCCATCACTACCCTGACACTGTGACCTATCACTGTGCCTGACTTGAAGATATGGGTACAGTGCTAGATGCTCATGGGTTGGGTCTGGGGAGGGGCTGGATGGTTATGAGAAGATCAGAGGGTGGTGCCCCCTACCTGGGGTGGGTAGGGTGGAGGTCATTTTTGACAGAATTAGAGAAACAGTGGGTAAGTTACTGCTAGAATGTCCAGTTTCATAATAGCTAGGCCAACAAATGATACCAGTAAAGACAAAGATATCCAATACCTTGTAGAATTAGCAAGAGTTCCAGTTGAAATATTAAGAGGGCAGAATCCTTCCTTAGAACATCTGGTTCCCAGGTAGCCAACCTGGGAACAGGTTGGCCCATCATGCCCTTAATTCTGATGACCAGAGAAAGCACTGGTACCCTATGTGAACTCCTCCAGTTAGTTACTGTTTTACCTGCACCTGGTCTGAGATTCCCCCACTACTTGGCACTTACCCAACCTTGCTGTTTGTCGCATTCCTGGCCTACTCTCGCTTCCTGCGGTGGGCTTCTTCTGTTTGAATTTGACCTCAGCTACTGGCTTGGGGCAAAAAAACGTGAGCATAAGGAAATGAAAGGTTAAGGAAAGACAACAATAGAAAGAAACTTGAGAAACATTTCTCCAGGTGTAGCTCTCAGCAAATGTAAACGCTGAGTTATTTGGAAGGTATGTGTTGATGGAAAGGTTACCAGGGGCTTAAATCTGGGTGGGGCTGGATCAGCCCCAGGCTTTTTTGAAGTCTGTGTTGTGTTCTCTGTACATCAGCCTAAATTTACAGTTCAGTTGCTAGCACCACAAAGGATGCATTCAGTTACACTGATTTTACCAGGGACCAAGAATTATAACCATTGATGGACTGGTAGAATCATGTTTTAATGAACATCATTAGAACATTCAGGTTTATAATAAAGTTATCTTGGGGGGGGGCCCGGATGATAATCCACACTGGTACTTATTGTGTCGATATGGAGATAAATTCAGATTGAAGGAGAAATTACACAAAACAGACACTTCCTTGGGTTCCTGTCCATTGAACAGAGTTTTCGAATGACCTGACTTTTGTATGGCCAGATAATATTAAATACACATAATAAATTTGGACATGATTTTCAAAATATTGTATTAGCGATGTGGGCTTGTTTGGGTTCTTTTGCCTCCTTGGTAAGTGCTCTAGGCAATTCTTGGGGCAGTCATTTGGGTGAGGTCATAGGGCAAGGCTTATAATCTACAAGGTATCCTGGCTCTTGGGAA